ATTCAAAAAGCATCTTAATAACAGGCTTTACTGTTCACCAAGTATAAGCTTATACTTGGTGAACAGTAAATTATTTGCTCTTAACCTTTGGTAGCTTATATAACTTCTGTTCAACTACTGTCAAATAAGTAGCCTTCAACATGGTTACATACGTCATAACATGGCCATAACATCGTATTTATGTCTTAAAAATCATTTTTGTTTCTGTACTGTAATTCCTGAGGAAGGGACATGTCAGTTTATATAAGCTGTAAGTCAAACTCATAAAATCTCTAACATACTCACTTGAAATATATCACTCTATGTGAATTGAATTACATTATCTACTTTTGCTTTTAAAACTGATTTTTTTATATATTAATTATATTTTTGATTATATTCTAATTTATGAAAATGCACCTGTATCTGTTGTTTGGTTTGTGTGCGTGTGTGTGTGTGTGTTTTCAAATGCAGAATTGGGAAATGGCACAGGGGCAGATAATTAAAAGAACATTTAGCTCTCAGGATTATAGGAACAATGATTTTATTACTCACTGGCATGACTACAAGAATAAATATTGACACTGATGCGTATTTAAGTAGAGCAAGCAAAGCTAACTTCAATGACGTGGACATTATATATATATATATATATATATATCCCTGTTTATTCACACCCTTTAGAAAACTGATGGTCCTCTGACTGTCAAGTGGCTAGTAACACAAAGGGAAGAAAAAGCGAAATAGTAATGGGCTGAGAAGAAAAGCTCAGGGGACGTGGAAGCTTGGCTGTGAGTGAACAGAGGGAACGAGGAGAGGGGAACATAAAATGACATTCGGAATCAGTCAGGCAAAAGTCTCGAGCGATTTAGAGTAGATTCAGAAAGGGAAGTGCTGAGGGGAGATAAGCAGCACAAAAAACTGCTCAGATAGCAGGTTTGTAACAACGGGCCAGAAAACATAGCCTTAGAGCAACTGAAGGTAGGGAGGGACTCGCATATCTGGTCTGTGTTATACAGCAAGCTAACCCCCCACCTCCAGTTACACAGAAGGATAAATATCTGTCCATTTGCTTGCTTTAAGACCAAAGCTTAAGACTTCCCTTAAGGATTCTGCTCCTGACTTGGAAAAAAGCAAAAGGCTTCAGTAAAGTTCACCAGGATGCTCTCTGGGGCTCCAGGAAAGTCTTCACCAAGCATCCGAAGGGGAGAAGGGCTCCAGGCGAGTGACATGTGGAAGATTGGTTCAATCCGAGAGAGAAAAAAAATTAAAAATTGCTCCTACTCCGATATACACCAAATCATATTTATTTCCTGTTGGACAGGTATTAAATGCATTCTCCATGTCCAACATTATACATGTTCAGTGAGGGTAGTTAAAATTAATGGCTGCCAAACAACTACTGGGAAAGTGGACATGGGCCTGCATTTGGACTGAAATGTCAATGACTCCACCAGAGCTCCCGCAATCCTGCCGTAGGTCTGAGTGTCAGGGTCTTTGGCCTGACAAATTCTCTAGGAGTAGGAAGGGCAAACGCTAATTTGAGGCAGCCTCAGGGAATGAGGCAGAGATTAGCAAAAAGACGAGCTGAGGAAACCACCAACTCACTTTATCGTCTCCTTCTTGCACAGTCACTCAGTTTGGGAGGGCGGCCTGATCCAGGCAGATTTACGCATCTGCCATATCCCTTTCTTTTCTTCATGAAAGGAATATGAAGGAATTTAACTGAACTCCAGGGGAGGTCAAGTACCTTAGATATACTTTGTATCCATCTCCTGACTAATACTTTTCAATAACATTCTCTGATTTGTTTGAAGAGTTCTTTTGTCTTCATGCTGCAATATCAGCTGGGAATTCTGATTAACCAGTGAATGAACTGTCCAGACACAGGTAAGCTTATGATGCAATCACTTCAGGCATGCTCAGGTGATCTCCATCCAACTCATTGTGATACTACTAGCCAATCACTAGCCAACTGGTACTAAAATCAGCCAATCGCTTATTATATGTTAAATATCTTTATGTAGTTTTTATTTTATTTTCTATACAACAGTTTTCACTTTGACGTCACAAGAATATTTTAAGTAATTTATTTGTCAAAGAAGCCAAATTTTGTTGATCATGTTTGATTTGTGTAAACTATAAAAGACAGTGTTGTGATGGTTAGCCAAATATCTAATGCATCTGTGATGCTGCAAAAAATATATATACAAGACGTTTAGTTCCATAATTTAAAAACAAAACAAAAAAACCAAGTAGCAACACAATGCTTAAAAAACAACAGTACTAGTAACTTGTTTTAGCCAACAATGACTAGAGAACCTAATTTCCCTCTGACAGATGGGAAAGAGCAACCATAAAGCAGGAGAAGAAATCATTAAGTCAGCCAAGGTCTGTTGAGATGTTTTAATTGTGTACCCCAGAGCTATAGGCATAGCTTATCTGATTGCTGCTATAACTAACTGGGGCAGACAAGAACTTCTGTGGACATTTAAAAAGTGATTTGTGTTGCAAAGGTTTCTTAAGGGAGAAGACAATCATTAGAGATTGGGAGGAGAGGAATGAGTGGACAGTTAATCGCAAAGGAAGCAGATTGTATGCTCTCCGCTGGAGAGAGGCTTGTTCTGCAGGGGAGGCTTGAGCACCTGGCTAATGCTTTCATGCTCATAATTTACAGTAGACCTGCCACTGTGTGTGGTAACTTTGGCAGTGTGACCAAAGTTCGCAACCGGTTTGCAAAGTGTTTCAACCTTGCCACTCATTCAAAGTGTCAATCAATGGCTTTTCAATGGCTACATTGCTGTCCCGGTGTATTAATCACTGAATAAAACTGCATGGAGGTGCACACCACCTTTTAAATATGTCCTTATCACTTTTTTGAAAACTTTGTCAAGTTAAAACCACAAACTTGTATTTACTGGAACCTGTACACTACCTGCACGGTTGGAATAATAATGTTAAGGTTTTAATTACGTTTCATTTCAACCAGCTTCCTACACTTTGAAAAAGAAATAAAAATGTGGAACTTTCTTCCACATGTTTGCCCCCCAACACTGCTTGTGGAAACATGGAAACATGATTTCTTAGACTTCTTTCCAGAAATAGTTTATTCCCTGGCACTCCTCGTTAAGGTCAGATCCGAGGAGTGTGTGCCTACCTGTTGCACTGAGCACAGATTCTCTCCCCTGAGCTGTGAATCTCTGCAGCTCCTCCAGTCTCACCAAGAACCGGTTGGCTACTTGTATGATTAGCTTCAACTGCAAGCCTTGAAAGGTTTACTGTAGTGCACAATTCTTTTCATTTTCAGATGATAGAATAAAAACTCCTACATGTTCATACCTCAGGATATTGTTTTAATTAATTATAACCTTTTATCATTTCCACAACTTTGTCCCTTATTTGTTCAATGTAGTCATGGAGCTTCATGGTGAGGTTTGTTCGATTATCTTCTTCTTTTGAAGACTTTTTTTGCACTCGTGGCCTTTATTTAGCAGTATTCAGACATTTAAGGGTGCAGAGTGAGAAGGGGGGGAAAGACATGGGGCAAAAGGTCCAAGCTGAAGTCGGAATGGCCGCGTCGGGTCTGCAGCCTCTGTGCTTAGGAGATTCTCTGTCCGCCCCAACCACTGTGCCATGCAGCACCCAGTTCACTTATCTCGTAAAACAAACTTTAGATACCTACAAAGATCAGCTGTATTTAAACTGACACCAAATCAAACACAGATTAACTCCGTTTACAGAGAAAGTCATGTCTTAAGGCAACTGGCTGCACTAGATTTTAAATAAGGATATCAGAGAAAAGAGGGCTTTATCTATGCAATTCTTGAGCACCATATATCATTTTCTTTCCACTTCCATCAAATCTCATTAAAATACATTGAAGCGGTTCTAATGTCACAAAATGTTAATAACAGACTGTTTAAACCCCAACAAAAGCACACAAACGTCACACATACACACACTTTCAACAAGGCATAGTTTAACTAATACCAGCAACATGGACAAGAAAACAAAGCTGTGAAAAAAGATGCAACATCTCAAGTGACGTGTTGGCAGGTTAAGCTGCACTTACATTACCCCTTCCATGCATAGACAGAGAGACTCGTTAAATTTGCACACAAAAGAGAGTCTGTCAGGACTCTAAACATACAAGATACTAAATCAATCCACTTAAAGTAAGCTGCACTTTAAGCTCCTAATGACTAACTACACGCCAGATGACTTTGCCACGAGACCTCGGAAGCTTTAAAGTCTGGCAAGGATCCTCTAAATCTCTGCAGAGGAGTACCTACGGCAGCATGACATAATACTGAACAAGAATCAGCTCTATTGCTTCATCGCACAATATTTTTCCAAGCAGCTTAAACCGGCCTGTTAATAATGTGTTTATATTTAATAAAACATTGCTTTTCGGCATCCTCCCAAGCTTCAGTAGCATCATTAGCGAAAAACTCCACCCAGCCATGGCCTAGTAAAGCTGCGTGTTGCATTTGAGAGCAGTGGGGAGAATATTTTCCTCATCTGCTTCTCTCTCTGCCATTTTAACCATCTAAATAGTTCATCTTTTTTAAAAGTGGCTCTTTACAGACTGAGAGTGTAGCCCAGTTATCTGCCGTGATGGAAACAAATGGGGATTAAAGTGGTGCTGAAATGGAAAGTCTGCTCCGGTATATAAATACATATAAAATTTGAGATACTAGAGCTGAAAACAACAATTAAGACGTATGCAGAGAGCTAGAATTTGCTTAAACATAATAAATGCATGAGGAGAAGTGCCATCATTGTAGCGCAAATCAAAATATACAATATAATTTATTAGGTCATTATGGTTCAGATTGTCAAAAAAAGCAGAAAAGATGACGGGACATCAAATAAGCTGTTCTTTTCCACTCTTTCTAATCGCTGTCAGCTACCCCCCCCCCCTCCCCCCCCTTTGTCTAGCAGCACATCCAAAGCTGCTCCAAGGTGTGAGCGTGTACAGGAGCAGTCAGCTGCATCAACAGCATGTCAGTGATACTCACGTATACTCTTCCTCAGTGAAGATCGGGATGAGAGAGGGCTGAAGGACAGTGATCTCCACCAAAGTACTGTTTGACTTCACCGGCTCCCCGTTATCAAAGGCAATCACAAACAGCTACAAAGAGACATCAGAACGATATACTCATGAAAGCGCAAACACACAATTATCACAACACCAAGCCATACTGCGTCTCTCTCTCTAACTCCTCTTTTGAAGTTCTTGCCAGGTGTTTTTTGGTAGACATGTTCGGCATCTTAATAAAGACATGGTAGCAAAACCTTGCAAAACTAATACAGGGAAAGTCTGATTGTGCTGATCTACATTCAGAGGCTGTGCAAACGGGGCTTAGAGAGTGAGCCAGCGGAGTGAGAGAGATAAGTAGAAAGAATAGACGTAGAACTTTTGAAAAAAAAAACCCACTAAAAACAAAGAGATGAAACAAAATAAACAGAAAGACAGACACATTAATAACGAAAAACAATCTGCAGCACTGCAGCTGATTGACAAACTGATGTTTGAAATAGTTCTATCTAAAAAAAAAAAAGAGTTGCTAATCAGAGAATCAGTTTTTGTGCTTATCCTGATTACTGTCATTATGTCCTATAAAACAACAACTATATTTTAAATCTGACATGAAATCATCCAAATTGTGTATGGATTTTCAAACGTAAAATAGAAAGTAGCATTTATGATCTGGTGGATTTCTTGTACTTTGTGTCTCATTTCTGCCCACTGACCACCCAGCTGGTTGAGGAATTTGGCTGCCCTCGTCGACTCCATTTCTACCAGAGCTTTGTTCCAATTAAAAATCTCTTCAATGTCATCACCCATCCTGCACATGTTTGGACCAGGGGATTCAATTAAAGCATTTGGCCATTTTAGAGAAACATTTTCACAAATTGGCACTTTTATGGCTGCTAAATTATTGAAATTGAGTGTACTGGTTATATTTGGAATGATTTGCACTATAGCACATTAGAAGCAGCTGAGCAGAACTAGACTGTAAAACTGGGCTTTAAATCTGATTTTTTTTTTTTTTTTTTTTTTGCTGCTCCATGGAGTTTGTTTTGAATTAACTCAACCAAAATTAATTGACATACAAATTTATTAGAATAAGATAAGATTAATATAAGATTAAGCAATGCTTCTGGGTGCATATCATATCGTTTGAAGGGGACAAAATCATATGGCTTAAGGAACTAATGTCAAGAAAGAAACATAAAACTTCATTTTATTGGAGTGACTGAATTTTATACTTTTTTTAATGTCAGACCCTATTGACCGTGTAATCGAGTTTCCACTGGTGACGAAACACTGATCAGGAATGATAAAAGCAGACAGTTCAGGCAAGGTCACCTCCTGGCAGTGATGGTGATTTATGCGAGTACCTGGGATGGTGGTGTGAAAAAAACTCGAGTTTTTTTTTTTTTTTTTTTTTTTAATATTAGCAGATGTTACCAATTTACAATACATCAGCACAATTTCATACATTTTAGTGAAGCTCTATCAACAACTGAAGAATGAAAAGCAATCTCTTTTCAGCTTTAACTTTTCACTATCACACTGTTAAAGTCAAGACAACACGGGTTCCTGCGACACAACCAACCCAGCCTTCTCCTTCTGTGCTATATATAGCTACTATGACTCAACTCGGATTCCACAGGAGCCCTCTTAAATGGCACTTTTTTTTTTTTTCCTTCCCACTCCTCAATACATCACTGCACCTCCTTCTGAATATCTGTGTCAATATCTGGGAAGGCTCCAGTTAACATGACAACCACAAGGACAATATGAGTAAAACGTACGAAATGACGCATGTATACATATCTATCATGCACGTTATATAGGTAGAAACTTACTTTAAAGGTAACGCTAGGCTCTTCATTGAGGTTAACCTTGGTGATGATTCTGCCAGTTTCCTGCTCTACATCAAAGATGCTCCCGCTGTAAGGAGACCTTTCCTGGTCCACTCTGTAGCGCACAAAACTGGCCGGAGTGCCCTGTAAAAACAGGTAAAAAGTTAACATGGCTCACAATGGGTCATTCTATCAATATCAAAAATAATCTTCACAAGTTAAAAAAAAAAAATAAAATGGAAAAAGGCGGCGTAAAAATAATGTTATGATTCGAGCCACAGAAATGTATAAACATCGTTTTTCCTAGGTGTACAATTCATGAAACTATTTAATTGACTTTTTCATTAATATGAAAAGGATTCTGACAAAAAAAAACAAACAAAAAAAAGCAGGTCTGCTCTTTGCCTCTCCTGTGTGGAGCTGCCATAAAGCATCACCACGTTCTTGTCTTTAAAACAAAAAAACTCTTAGCCTCTTATATTCACCATTAGCCTGCCCCTCACCAAACATCTGCATATACCCTCACTTTGATTCACTTAACTATGCTATTCATCAGAGACATAAAAGAGAAAAAATAATAATTTAAATTCATCCCTTTCAATTCAAACAATTCAATTCATCAGCGACAATATGGACTTTACTATAACCCTTGATTGTGATTAATCATGGATCTTGATTAACAATCATTTCACAGCTAATCTTATTCAAGACCTATCCATTCAGACCCAGAAGGAAGCATTCAGTAGTGAGGAACAGTCCATAATGTAAACACTGCAAACTGGGGTAGAACCGAACCAGACGTTAAGCAGCGTGAGAAAGACTCTGTAATGGACAAGCAGCTAAAAGGATGATGGCCGACTCTCTCAGAGGTATGTCACACTGGAGAGGGACGTGTAGGTTTCCTCCCAGATACAGTACGCTCCATCCCAACCACAAATAACCAGTAGAAAATGAAATTATGGGTTGATCTGGCAAATTTAATACATTTTAAACAAGTATTTATCTGAAGCAACTGAGGGGCCAGAGCTGAGCGAGTGGAATGTCTTAAGTTAGTTATTTTATTTGTAAATGGATTATTGACTAATCAGATCTGTGACTAAAAAAAAAAAAACTACAGGGAATACAAGAGTTGCCAGAATCAATTATAGTAAATATGCACTTCTGCAACAGACAGGAAAAAAAAGGACTTTCATTTTGGGCTACAAAACAGCAGATTCCTTACATCTTGTTCTGAGGAAAAACGAATATTCGTCTCCATGGAAACCTCTTGTTCAGACAGTCATAAGTGCCACCTCTTCCAAGGTACAGGCAATGAGAAAGGAGGTAATCTTCAGTATTTATTGCTTTTTATATACCATATTACTATGACACTCTTTCTTTCTGAGTGCAGTTTTGCTTATGACCACACTGTGCAAATGTGTGAGCCAGTCTTGTTTGGTGTTTTAAAAAAGCAAGGGTGTCTGTGTGTGTCATGCTGTCAGTTAAAGACCAAATCCAGGCCAGCAAAAATCTGGGTTAGTTTGGGGACCTGGGTTGTCAAACCATTTTTCTCTCGTCTCCATTACACCATTCATACTGTCACTGTGCTTCTGGCTTTGTTTTTTTTTTTTTTTTTTCAGGCTTTAGCACTATTGAATATTTACCGCGGTGAAAAACTTCCCTTGTGGGGTTCAGAATGGTAACAGCAACAATGTCAAAGTTCAACTTAAAAAGGAAAAGTTTGAGATTTTCAACAACTGGGCGAGGGTGAACAACAGGAGGGAGAGCCTCCTTCCCAGATAAAGTGAGACGTACAACAGCCAGGGTGACATTGTGAAGATGTTCTACCACCCACAGCTAGAATTGACAGCCATCCGCTTCCCTCGGTGTTCATGTGCAGTAGAGAGAATACAGGCTTATTCAGCCTTGGTGAGATCCCACCAGCAGGAGGGCCACTAATATCGTAGGAGTCCAGTCATGCACAACTTTACAGAGAAACCAACTTAGAGCTTAAGACATTTTCCATTCAACTTTTTAACATAGGATGCCTACAAAAAAAAAGCAAATAAGTGAAAAACTTAAACATCAGAAGTAGCACTGCCACATAAAAAAAAAGAAAAGTTTGAGATGAAAGGCATGTCACTGAGCAATCTGAGAAATAGTAGATGACTCATACAAGGAGAGATGCACGCAAAGATCATGTGAATATACACACAGCTCTGTATCTCCATTGAGAGGATTGCAGTCTTGAACACACTGTGAAAATGACTTGTGTAATATACTGCAGCTGAAAACGATTCTTTTTCTCACAGCAGTATGGAGTCACTAGGAAAGATTTTGCTTCTTATTAATTTCACCTAGACGGTATACAGAGACTGCAACGGACTGGCGACCTGTCCAGGGTGTACCCAGCCTCTCGCCTATTGACAGCTGGAGGTAGGCACCAGCACCCCATCCCAACCACAATGGGATAAGGGTGTAAGGAAATGAATGAATGAATGAATGAATGAATGAATGAATGGATGGATGGATGAATGGATGGATGGATGGATGGATGGATGGATGGATGGATGGATGTCTACTGAGGTGGTGTCAAATGTGAGTTTGTCGTGTGGCTCATTTTTTAATCTGCACTCACTGGTGGATCTTGGTCCTCAGCAAAAACGGTGGTGATGACTGTTCCCTTCTCTGCGTTGGGGGCCACCAAGCCCTTGTACAGATCTTGTCTGAAGACAGGTGAGAAGTCATTCATGTCCTGGAATAGCAAGATTTCTTTTTTCAGCACAAAACTCGGAATTAGTCTCTCGTTCAAACCTCAACAAATTGCTTGTAAGCAGTTCAACTAGGAAAGAGCAAGTTTGAGAATCTCACTGTGTGAAAAAAAGTAAACACCACAGTTAGATGTCATCAACACAAAGCTTTAAATAAAAATGCGTTAAATATTTCTGATGCTGAAAAACTTGAGCTAAATATAGCATAACCATATAATAAATGTAGAAATAGGTTTTGATATTATTACTACTTGTTCTGCTGCTTTTTATGTTTTTTAAATGGAATTAGAGCAAGCTGATATTAGCAGGCTAAAAAAAAACAAAAAAAAAACATTGGTTCACTTAGCTAGCTTAGAGTCTGATGCTTAACAGACATAATACTTTATCAAGTCAGATGTACTTTCAGAAACAGCACTATCTCAAAAACAGTAATGGGCGACATGCTTTTAGATTTCATGGATTTTTTTTGTGAATGAGCAACCAGTAGTGTGCTGAAACGGCAATGCGAGGGGAAAGTTTGTTGAAAATTACAGACACACAAGAACTTTTAGCCAATCAAAATACATAACTAGCCCTAACATAAACTTAGAAGAAAAGGATGCATTTTTCTTTCCAAAAAATACTTATTTCACAGGCTGCACAGTGGCGCAGCTGTTGCCTTGCAGCAAGAAGGTTCTGGGTTCGATTCCCGGCCCCAGAATGCATGTTCTCCCTGTGCATGCGTGGGTTTTCTCCGGGTACTCCGGTTTCCTCCCACAGTCCAAAAACATGGCTGTCAGGTTAACTGGCCTCTCCAAATTGTCCCTAGGTGTGTCTGTGCATGGTTGTTTGTCCTGTGTCTCTCGCCCAGAACGTTAGCTGGAAATAGGCACCAGCACCCCCTCCTGACCCCACTAAGGGACAAGGGTGTAAAGAAAATGGATGGACGGATGGACATATTTCACAATTTAAATTAAACCAAAATGAGTTCATTTCTTCCCTCATATTTGACACAAATTTTTATACTTTAAAATCTAAAATTAATGCAAATTTTCATAAACAACTGTGTTTAATGGCAGGTGTGTAATAGAGCATATTGTGACATTCAAATTTGATAGTTATCCACTGGATTCCTTTTAAAGAATATACACAGTGTGTTCTCAGTATATAGTGTTTAAATATTATGGGAGGAAGATCAAGTTTTTATTCTTACCAGCTTGTTCAAATGATGCAATGTTTAAGAGAGAGTCAAATTCTCACGGCTTAGTTCTATGAAAAAAAAAAAAACCCAAGAAGCCAATCTTGCTATTAAAATGGCAGATTGGAGCTTTTTAAATGAGAAAATATACTTTCAAATATCAGCAATAAGACAGTAGTTTGCTAAAAGTCAATGCATAAAAATTAAGACAGCTTAAACAAAATCGAAGGTTAAAAGGAGTAGCAACGAAGATGAGATGGGAGAATTTTGCAGATCTGATTTATACTGCTCCACAAATTGCACCAAGGCAAGCAGCCCAGACAAATTAACAGCTGTCCAATTAGATTAGGAAGCCTGTTCAAATATTAATTTAAGCTTTTATTTTCTACCCTACATAGTGACGTTTCAGGCCTGTGTGCAGTGCATCCACGCAAACCCCTCGCTCTCTGAAAAGAAATACAATTTTCTTCTCACTTTTTATAGGAAAAGCTATGGATTTCAATTGAAATCAATTACATTTAAATGTCAAGGTAGTTTAGGTGGTATCCAGGTCTTGGTAAATTGTAATAACACATGTAACACTTTTAATCAGCTGTCTCAGATTAAATAAAACAAAACAGTGCAAAACACTGCATAAAAAGTTAGGAAATAAACATCTCGCTAGACGATTTGCCACGTGAAAGCAGGAAAAACTTCAGGAGCAAAATCAAACATTTGTTAGTATTTAAACCTATTAAAGTACATAAACTTTTCCTTGTCTTGATATTTCCTCTTCTGAAGAGTCAGAGCCATGAACATCAGTCTCTTGCTTTGATCTTTTTTGCAGGTTTTGTTTGTTTTGGGAATTATTATTTTTTTTGCAGGATCAAATTTATGCTTTGAACAAAAACGCTTGATTTTTGAGCAACAAACTTAACAGTGGAACATTGAGTTTGTCTTACCTGTACTGCCCTGAAAATCTTTTAATGTAATAAACATGTGCAAATGTATAATCTCAAGCATTTCTGAGATGCACAGAATAGTAAAAGGAACATTGAGAGCTGCAAGACAGGTGCAACAGAAAATCCATCACAGCTAGTAATATAATGTAAAGAGATAGCATCAACAGCATAAAAGGAAAGATACGGAAATTACTTCAAATAACTCTCTTGAGGTGTTATATAAAAGAGAGTGAAATCAGTGGAATCAACTCAATCTTTAGTCCCCTTGAGGCTAGACTGAATCCATTAGACTCATTCTTAGTCATTTCAAATGGCAGAGACTGGTTTGGTATCAATGCCTGTGCCATTCCTTTACCCTTGGTGACGGCGCACATAATTGCGACAAAGCGTGTTTTTATCAGGACATGTTAGAAAACCTTCTCATAGCTTAATTCTGCAAACCTTAAGGAGGAAGGCCGGATTCATGAGCAGAGATACAGTAAATGTGCACATATTTTGAAGAACTAATCAGAGCAAAAGAAAATAAAAAATACACATTGTTAAATAGAGATGCACGGTCTCACTACACAATCCTTTTGTTCGCTCAGCTTATAAAAGGCTGCAAAGAAAAGACAAGCTTCTGCAAAGCCTGCCATAATTGCTGTCACAAAGCTAATGAGTCATTCAGATCGTGAATAGCAGTGCATACGAGGCAGAAACACCAATCCATCAAAGCTCTTTTCTGTGGTGTTGCAGTGTGGGTGAGTAGGTCAGCAGGCTAAAATGTGTTTTACAAAGGTAATTCAATCATCCACTGCAGTGAGAGATGTAGCGCAATGACAGCGCAGCTGCAATACTTTAATGTTTTCAATTCACTTTGGCGTTATGGTCTCTGTGTTGTGCCCTTTGAAAGATACTACGACTGCGAAACCTTGCTAATGACTCACTGCATAGTTGCTTATCAAGGCCACATCTCCAGAGCAACAATGAGGGTAGAGAGAGAGAGAGTAGTGGCGTACAAAGAACAGAGAACCGAGAGGAGGCGCTGCACAGGCAGTCTTTGGGCTCTTACTGTGATGCGAACTGTGACGGTAGCTTGTCCCGGCGGCATTCGGGCTCCTTGGTCGACAGCTTCTACCTGGAAGGTGTAAGAAGTCCCCATGCCCATAGCTGCCAGACCCTCGAAGTCCAGGGTCTGCAGCACAGCTAGCTCCCCAGTGATGGGGTTAAGAGAGAACAGCTGCCTGGCTGACTCAGTCTTGATGCGGTACGTGATGTTGGAGAAGAGATCTGCGTCCACAGCCTGCGAGAAGAATGAAGAGGAGCAGAGATATGAGGATTCTAGAAGACGAGAGATGTATGTTGAAAAAATGAATAATAATAATAATAATAAAAAAATAAAAAAAACAGCAGGATGTTCAAAAAAATCTAGGGTTGTGTTTTAATTTAAAAATTTGCAGCTCCAGGGATTACCCCAATCATTCATTAATCAGGGTCTCATTAAATTAAGCCTCTGAGGAAAGCTAAAGTTCATAAGAGTGAAATCCCAACTCACAAAGCAGATATAATTTCCAAAGGCTAATGCAATATATTATAAGATTAAGCCTGCAGGGATTGGAATTATTCAAACCCGGGCCAAATTTGATTTATTGGAAATGTTTACTCGCAATATAAGTTTATTTAGGCAGGAGAACAATAACTTCAAAATAGTATTGTGTCAAACTTCTTAAATTACATCTTTCATTAAGACCTGTGTAAATTTTCAAGGGTTAAAGAAAAAAAAAATAATAATCTACAAGCAGATTTCACTGCCACCATAAAAACCATAAGAATGAAGTCAGGTAGGTGTGTTCACACTGCAGCCTGAAGTGACCCAATTCCGATTTTTTTTGACGTAATGCGACCTGTATCCGATCTTTTCATGGCAGTGTGAACAGCACAGGTCGGATTCTTTTTCGAATGTGACCCATATCTGATACGTATCTGATTCAAATGCGACCTAACGTCCAGGTCGCATTCATTCGAACTGAACGTCATTGATTCTCAACAAATCTCAGTATTCTGCGTCCTAATACGCGCAAGCGGGAAGAAAAACAACAACCATGACGGACTATATGAGGATTAAGTTGTTAATATGTTTCTCTGGCCGGACAACAACTTCAAATATGTAAGCTAAGCTCCACCGTTAGCCTCCATGTTTACTTCCGCAAACACTGAGCACTTCTTCTTTTTATGGCGGTTGGCAGAACACTGAGAACGCTGACGCTATTGCGCCCTCTAGTGTGCGCATGCGGGACACTTTCAGGTCGTTTGCCCATTAGCACTGCTGAACGCATACAGGTCGCATTTACTGGCAGTGTGAACGGCCCTGGAAAAAAAAAAAAAAATGGAATTGCCAAAAAATCTGAATTGGATCACTTCAGGCTGCAGTGTGAATGCACCGGTGCCCTTAATTTAATTATTTTTATGAAAAAATCCTAAATGGATAACATTGAAATTCGAAAGAAACTAAACCTTGAATTTAGATTTGATGTAATTCACTCAATAATATGTACAACTTCTTGCAAAAAATATTCACATCAGTTAACCACCACTGCCTTAAGGTGAGAAGCTTGGTCATCCAGAAAGAGCTCAGTGTAAAGTCGCTGCTTTTCCACATTGAGAAGAGCCAGTTTAGGTGGCTCAGACACCTGGTTATGGTGCCTCCTGGATTCCTCCTTGGTGAGGTGTTCCAGGCACATCCCACTGAGGGGGTGGGGGGCGGGAAGACCCTCAGGAAACCCCAGAACATGCAGGAGGGAATAAGTTTCTTGGCTGACCTGGGAACACCCTGGAGGTGCTGGCCCAAGTGGCTGGGGAAAAGGAAGTCAGGGTTTCTCTGCTTAGCTTGCTGCCCCTGAGACCCGACCGTAGTTAAGCAGAACATAATGGATGGACAGATGAAGTTCTGTGCGTTATGGGAGTTTGTATACACCTGAAGGGATCTTTATATAGATAAAAATAACAAAATGCTGCCAGTGCTAATGCAAATTTGGTACATATTTGACTCTGGTTGGGTTTCCCTTTGCCCAGTGGGTATCTAACCTGCCAGCAGTGTTAGTTCAGGGGTAAGGTGGTATTGTATAGTTTATGAAGGCGTCACACTGCCACTGTCACTCAAGTCCCTTGCCTTTTTTACCTTCATCTCCTTCTCACTCTCCCCACCTCCTGCTATATCCCTGTCTGGGTGATGTCATTCATGATATGCCAGCAATTATTCGACCCCCTGCTAATGTTTGCTCTATGCATGCACGATTTCTCTATGCCTCAGCTCACTACACACATTTATGTTGATGTTCGACAGTGTTAGGGCCAGATGCAAACATCTTCAATTTTTTTTTTCCTTTTTTATTATTTATTTTATCTTGTGGTGTGTGTTGATGTTTGCCAGTTAGGATGGATCTACCGAAGTTTGGATGTGACTCAAGTAAAAAAAATAAAAAAAAAACGCTTCAGGTCTTGTTCTGTCAAAAAGTGCCTGTGGTAAGAGAGAAAGTGTGTCTGTCCAAGAAAACTGTAATTTGGTTGCTACAGATTTTACCATTTTGACAATTTTCTCACTGAATAACCAGCCTGAAAGCTACTTCTGGATACAGGAAGGGGAAAATGGTGACTTTGATGAGAGAAACTTACACTTAGTTTCAGAACCACAGTCCCCACTGGGCTGTTCTCAGGTACATTCACCACATAGTCTTGCTGTGAGAAGACCGGGCTGTTGTCATCTATATCCAGAATCTGGACTAAGAGCGTCAAGGCGGTTCTTCTAGGGTCTACCGCCCCATCTGAGGCCTCAACTATGAGGCTATACTGATCTCTTAACTCTCTGTCCAAAGGTCGTTTTGTGTAGATGCTTCCGTTGGCACTGATTACAAACAAGTCAGGATAGTTGACAATCCGGTAGTAAACCTGACCGTTGGCTCCTGCATCAGGGTCAGTGGCCTAAGGAGAAAGAAAACCAAACAATGTTAAAATGAGTGGATTTCTACAAGAAACTTTAAGCTGCCAACCAGTTGTAACTGCTGTTTTTTTTTTTTTTTTTTTTTTTTTAAAAAAAAACCCTTGGCCGCTGGCAAATTCTTGAAGAAAAGGGACCAAAA